AAAAAAAAAAAAAAAAAAAAAAAAAAAAAAAAAACACGAACAGTAGCATAAAAAAACTTTTTGTGATAAGAAAGAAAAGAGAAGCAAAATACTATATTTGTTTGAATAAAAAAGTTAAAATTTATAAACAAAATAACAATTTTTAAATAAAAAACATGGAAATTCATCAAGGTAAAATTAAGATATCCTTCACCGTTATTGGCTCAAAAAAGCATACAAAAAGTTCACAGAAAGATTCATCTGTACTACTGTTGACCGATGAGTCGCAAAATAATTCCGCACCAACAAATTCTGTCCATAGAAGCAAAAACATAGGACCATTAATCTATTCCTCCCACGTTAAATTTCAACGCACGGGTAAACGCTAATTTCAGTAAAATATTGCTTAAACAAAAACATAAAAAAATCCAAGCAAGCTGTTAACCGAAAAAATAATCAGGTAACCAGAAATATACCGATGCAACATTAAAATGCCATTCATTACAATGAATAAGCATATGATAGCCCATTACTACTCCTTTAATTGTCGTAAAGTGACAAAGAAGGAGGAGAAAGAATAAATAAATAAATAAATAAAAAGATGAACAGGAGCAGTAAAGATGAAGAAAAAAGTCATTACCAATCATCAGCCATCTAACTGAACGACAAGTTAAAACTAACGACCAATTTAATGTTCATTTTTTTCCTCACTAAATCGAACTAAAACTGGTGCGCAAGGCGGCGGTAGTTAATAATTGCGCTGAAACCACATAAGACATACATTAAGAAATCTTCCAGTGCAAAGAAGCCAACAAAATATTATAAAACGTCAACTGAAATGTTTATGAAAGTCAACAAGGAGCGAAAAGCAGAAATGCAAAAATCGACTGTACGAATGAGAGCGAGGAATTAGACAGAAAAGAATGATGATTAAAACGAAAGTAGAGTTTTTTTGATGAGAAATACAAATCGATTCTTAAAAATTACTGTCAAAAAAAAAAGGAAAAGAAAGAAGATACTTCCCCTCAAACCTTCATCGCGCTTTCCCTTGCCGCTTTCTTCTCTTGCTTACCGCTACATTCATCTTACAGACTTTGTGTAGACTACTACGGCCGCTTTCCTTCTTCTTAGCATCATTTTTCACTATTCAGAATGTAATCAGTAATCAGAGTCAATGAAAACTAAAGCTGTAATCACCTTATGAATTTGGCCGACCAAAAATAGGCCAAAAATTTTCCAGAACAAAAAATTTTTCCTTGCTCTTGCTTACAGTTGTCCTTGTTATTTTCGCTCTGAATGATATTACTGAAGTTTTGTGCAGAAACTGACCCTAACGGTTCTACATAGACCGTTACTAAAAAGTAAGAACAATAGCTGTACAGTTTCTTGTTCCTGACTTGTGATTAAAGGAGTCCTCTGACCGAAAAACATTTACTGATACGCTGTTTGAACGCACCAATTCGTCACTGAATTTTACAAAAGTGTTAATAAAAATGACAATTCTTCTCTCATTGCTTTCCTTCTTTCACTCACCAAATTTCTACAGAACATTAAAAATACGTTCAGCCACATAACATGCTACAGAAAGCTATTTCTCTAGTTTCCTCACCATCTAATCTAACAGGAATTTATTGCAAAGCTGACCAACAGCAAAGTGAACCGATCTACCGTCCTCGCAAATTCAGATTTCAAGCAAACATTGCGATTACTCTTCGA